GAGAGAGAGAGAGAGAGTCGCCAATTGCGAGCTTTAACAGAATTGAAAGTATACAAATTGACATATGTTTAAAAGAGCATTTTACGGGATTAAATTTTTCGATTAAACTGACGATTCGCTACGCTCGCCCTTTTGCCAATCGGTGGGACATCGCATTGTTTAAATTGTTTTGCAGTGTGCGGGAACATTGCGAATCGTTTATGTATGAAAATTTTTTTTTTCATTTTTTTAGGTTGCAAGATGTCAATTTTGTATCCTATAAAAAATCCGTTTGTTTTTTTTTTTTTTTTATTAAGAGAGACGAGATGTTGAATATGAAATTTTGCATGAATATTTTGCGCGGGATATTATAAAAAAATATTACAAACTATTCCTCTGGAATTATCAGTGATGGACAACATATTTTTTTAGTATCTTAAAGTTTACCGAAGTTTTTTATGCAATTTGTGATTGACAGATCGCTGAGACTACTAGGCAAGGAGGCATAATAATTCTCAACAAAATTACTTGTAATATACTTTCAATTCATTTTACTTGTGTGTCAACAGCGGCCCTGTTCGAGAGAATCGCATCTATTTCTATCCATTTCTACGAAGAAAGAGAAAGAGGAGGAAAGGAGGGGGAGGGGAAAGAAGAGGGAGGCAGACAGCCCTTTTTCTTGACCGCTTCCGCTTTCTGTTAGCCGATAAATTTAACATTACTCTTATCTTCCTCTCCCGTTGTTTTCGGACGTTCCGCGCACACTTCGAAAATATTTGTGCGATTTTGCACGAGGAGATATGACCTTGCGGGAACGTGAACGGCACTGGCGGCACGTATCTCGCCCATTATCGGATTCGCAACAATTTAATTTGTGCCCTTTTAATTGTTCGCAGAACTTCCTCAGTTTATTTCGGCCCTCACCGTCATGGAAGTCGGCTGAAGAGATGCTGGATAATGCTAGCAGTATCAGCACCGCGTTGGACAATCCGGCATACGTCCCGGATACGTCCCGGCATAGTAAATTTTGAATCTAGCTGTTTGGTTTACGATAAATGGTAACTTCAAGAAAGAGATTATTAAATTACAATTGGTACCTTGAAAAACCTTGTTTTCCAATGTCTTTACAAGTGTAATTTTAGAGGTGCGAATTTGGAGAGCAAAAGTATTTAACAGAGTTTAATCATTTTTTATTTTACATCAATTATTTTTTAAAACTCGAATACTCGGATTGTTTATCTTGAATAGAAATTTTTAGTAATTTTAATATCCTTTAATCACTTTTATCGAAAAGTCATTACTGAAACAATTTAAAAGTCATTGAATAACAAAAATAGTTATCTCTGAAATCGTGTATATTACAGAAGCACTTTTGTCACGGGAACTCGTAATGTTTTCTATAGATAAATTCTGAAACAGTCAAACGGAGAGAATATCAATGTCTCATTATAATTCCTGTAATGGCAGCTAAAGAGAAAATTCGCATTAATAAAGATAAGAAAATAAATATATGAGCAGAGAAAATAATTCATTCCGTTTTAGGAATAAATTATTTTTTATCTGAAAAAAATCAGAATTTTGTTAAATTATTATAATGCAAAAATGCATATATAT